CAACAAATTTCATTTCATCACAGCAGAAAAGAAAAACAAATAGCATGATGTTCGTTCGTCTTTTGCTTATTATGATTATGATCAATATTTATTTGTGTACTGATGAAAAAAAAATGAAAAAAGATCTTGGTACAGTGATTGGAATTGATCTGGGAACGACTTATTCATGTGTGGGAGTATTTAAAAATTGTCATGTGGAAATTATTGAAAATGATCAAGGAAATCGAATAACACCATCGTGTGTTGCATTTACACCTGATGGTCAACGATTAATTGGTGATGCAGCGAAAAATTTACTTACGTCAAATCCTCAAAGTATATTTTTTCTTCTTTATTCAATTTATTTCTCAAATAAAATATTTTGTTTATTTAGATACATTATTTCAAATCAAACGAATTATTGGACGAAAATTTAATGATTCATCTGTACAAACAGATATTAAACATTTTCCATTTAGAGTCATCGAACGTCATGGGAGACCCATTATCAAAGTAGATACTCGATATGGAGAAAAATTATTTACACCTGAAGAAATTTCAGCAATGATACTGGGGAAAATGCGTGATATTGCTGTATGTCGCTTTAATATTTCTCATAGAAAACACTTTAATCGATTGATCGATTGTTCTAGGAAGGATTTCTTGGAGACGAAGTAAAAAATGCTGTTGTAACAGTCCCTGCTTATTTCAATGATGCTCAACGACAAGCAACCAAAGATGCTGGAACAATTGCTGGCTTGAATGTGATTAGAATTATTAATGAACCAACAGCAGCAGCTATTGCTTTTGGATTAGACAAAATGAAGAAATGGGATGGGGCCAAACATATTCTTGTTTTTGATTTAGGTGGAGGAACATTTGATGTTTCATTATTAGCATTTGACAATGGAGTATTTGAAGTTCTTGCCACCAATGGTGATACACATTTGGGTCAGTATCATTTGTTTCTTTTCTGTCCAAAGAATTTCAAATTTCGTTCATTTTCAATAGGTGGTGAAGATTTTGATCAACGTGTTATTGAACATTTTATTAAATTATTCAAAACAAAAAAAGGAAAAGATGTAGCAAAAAATATTCATGCAGTTGAAAAACTTCGTCGGGAAGTTGAAAAAGCAAAACGAATTTTGTCATCTGAACATCAAACAAGAGTTGAAATCGAATCATTTATTCCCAATGAAGATTTTAGTGAAATATTAACGCGTGCTAAATTTGAAGAATTAAATATCGATTTATTTCGATCAACAATGATACCTGTTGAAAATGTTCTCAAAGATGCTAAATTAATGAAATCTGACATTGCCGAGGTTCTTCTCGTTGGAGGATCAACACGAATACCAAAAATACGACAATTTCTTAAAGAATTTTTCAATGGAAAAGAACCATCACGTGGAATCAATCCAGATGAAGCTGTTGGTAAGAATGGAAAACAAAAAAAACTATTTCTTTAATCATCGATTTGCTTATCTCTAGCTCATGGTGCAGCTATACAAGGAGCCATACTTGCAGGTGACAGATGCATCATCGATACTGACATTGTCATTATAGATGTCAATCCATTAACAATGGGTATTGAGGTTAAAGATGGAGCCATGTCACCGATTATTCCACGAAACAGTCACATTCCAATAACCAAGACACAACCTTTTACAACTGTTCATGATGATCAACATACAGTCATTATACGAATATTTGAAGGTGAACGGCCTATGGCTAAACACAATCATTTTTTGGGAGAATTTGATCTTACTGGTATTCCACTTGCTCTACGTGGTATTCCTCAAATTGATGTTACTTTTGATATTGATGTTGATGGAATTCTCAATGTTTGTCTTTAATCAAAGTCGTAGAAAAGCATATTTGTTTGATTTTTTAGGTCACTGCTCAAGAAAAAACTGGAGGAAACAAGAAGAGCATTGTCATCAATGCAAAAACAAATCGATTATCAAGTGAACAAATTGATCGAATGATTAAAGTTGCCGAATTATTTTCAGATGAAGATAAATTAGTTAGACAACGAATAGATGCAAAAAATGAACTTGAATCGTAATTATTCTCTTTTATATAATTTAAAATAAAGTATTTTGATTTTTTAGTTACACATATTCATTGAGAAATCAATTAAAAGATCCAAAGACACTCTTCGGAGAATTATCATCAAAAGAAAAGTCAACTATTACAGATGCTGTTGAAAATCAAATTAAATGGATTGATACCAATCCAAATGGTAAAACGGATGATTTCAGAAAACAGAAAAAACAACTTGAAAGAATTGTTCTACAAATAATGAGCAAAATCCATGGATATAACTCAAATAAAACTCGATCACAATCATCTCAATACTATGGAGAATTATAAGAATATATTTCTTTTTGACAAAACACATTTGAAAAATTTTCCAACTCATTCTTAGGCATGCTTATACGTATCTATTGTCATTTCACGTTTTTTTTCCTTGAAACTTCTCATTTTTTATTATTCGGATTATTTTTTTTGTTGATATCAAAAGTGGAGAACTCAACGAAGCACATATGTAACAAGTTACACATCTATCCTGTTGTCATTAAGATGTTGTCTACTGACACTTCACCAGAGAACCATGCCAATATACTCACATAGATAAGCAAGAGAGAAGATTTTTCTCTTTTCTATGTGTATCTTGAGGAACATTAATAAGGGTGTGGGTGTGAGTGTGGATATGGGGTGTGGGTGTGAGTATGTGAGTGTGAGTGGAGAGGAGATTCTAGCGACACAGCATATACCCACACCCACGCCTTTAATCACGAAATAAATATGGAGTATCAGCTGTTGAATGAAGATCAGAATTTTTAATTGATAGATGAAATACGATTGCATCAGTTTCATGACTTAATAATTAAAGTAAAAAATATCTGGTCTTTCAGCATATATTATTGTACCATCAACATGAAGAGTACGAGATGCTGGATGATAAACAAAAACACATACGAAATGATTTGATGATTCAGGTGATGGATTAATAAAATCTGATCCTACATTTAAAAAGATAATTTATATCATTTGAAAATAATTTCTGTTTATTTTAAAAAATCTGCTGAAATACGCATTTTCACATCTGGTTTCCACTTTTTTTTCTAATATTACAATCATCAAGATTTCGCGTTCCTGTAATTTCTGTTAATCAACGTGTATGTCTTCACGTTCCATAATAAGCTGCTTTTGCATATAGTTGGCAAAAAACGGAAAATGCGAATGTATGAAATGGATGTGTACCAATAACAGCTTCAATCTTTTCTCTATTATTTGTTAATTGATCAATATCTTGTCGAAGACGATGATTTACTTCAACTGTATCAACAACAAGAAATCTTTCATTACGTGACATCTGGGTTTCAATGTCAATAACTTTCAAAACTTTGAAACAACCACGAACATTTCAAAAACTAGGGCTAATAGAATGAAGCTCGTTTTTATCAAGATTCTGTGCAGCACGTGGAATTTTAGCTGAAATAGCTGAAGCCATACTAGAAAAGGATTGAAAAAATGATCTGAAAAGAAGACTTAAGAACCCAAAAAGTACTCTATCTAAAAATTTGATGATGAGCTTTTGTCTTATCATCAAGTACAAGACAATACTAATGATGTGTGTATGTTATTGAAGTAATGTATGCAGGCAATCGACGTATTGTATCTTGTTGCAAGAAAACAAAACGAATGAGCTGTATGACGATGCACAAACAACAAATAATAAAGATCAAGAGACGAATAGAAAGAAATGTCTTAGATAAAAGTTAAGGTCAATAATATATAGATGAATGGAAACTGAAATTTTCAAGAATTATTCATGGTCATAGTGATGATGATGAATAAGCCGAACGAAATCCATCAATAATCATCAAGAACAACTCGCAACAAATATCATTCATTGATTCATTCGTTTAAAAAACTACTTGCAATCTTTAATGCGAAATAATATGACTTGAATGTATTCTAATTTATCAAATCAAAATTTCATCAGAAAGAATTTTTTGTGTAGCTCGAACTTTACAAGATATTTTTATAGAATCCTGTAACTATAAGTAAAAGTATTAAAAACTCAAAGCTGAAAGACTGTCGAAAAATGTAAAATACGAATGTCTGTTCAACTACTAGATAATGTCACACTTGTGCTTGTGTATGATTCATAATTTTAGGGAATGTGAAAGAATTTAGGTGATGAATTCATTCATAGATATATAAACCTCATTCTAAAAAGAATAAAAATAATATAGTAACGGTGTTTTTCAATGACCAAACAAATCGAATAGTAAAATTATCGAATTGTTTAGTTTATAGGCAATCTAACTCACTTAGTGTAAGAAATATGAGATTATTCTGCGATTTTACTATGAGTTTATTATTCTATGCACAAGGGAACATTGAGGTTGTGGATGGATTGAATAACAACATTCACCAACAGAGCCACTTCCATACTACACACTCCCCACACCCTGATTTCTATTATTCTTGAAAAGTTAAAAATTTGAAGGATAATTGAAGGATAAAGAGAAATCAGCTTTTTGTCTTGGATAGCAACGATGAACTGGAAATATTAAATATTCACGAAACAAAACAATGAAGATATGTGAATAAGAAAAAAATTAATTCAAATTATATCGAGGCTTTTTTGTTGCTCATTAATTCACTCCATAGCAATGAAAAATCGAGTAAAAATATCGGAAAAGTGCTTTCCAAAATGCTTTGCTATTGAGTATATACAAATAGAATGTTAATTGAAACTATATAAGACAATAATTTACTCAATGAAGATTTATCTTTCAATAACCTTCAAATAAGCATGGATTATCACTTTTTAATAGAAGAAAATTGAATAAAAGGAAGCTTTTCCCATTACTGGCATAAGAGAAAAGATAGACTTTGATAATCTCATATAAATTTATGAAGTTTGGTTTTCTATTCCTTGAAATTTCATTCAATACCAATCACAATGATTTATTATGTCGATCCAATGCATTGTAGGCCTGAACCAGGTTTTTTTTTTATTATTCTTCAATGTTGTCGGAAGATTTGGGATTGAACAAAACAAAATAATAAATGAAATAAGATCGAATAATTATCTGATAATGTAAATGATGATTCCTTATCGATATTTTTTTAGAATCAAAAGCTAAATACAAAATAAACAAATAAATAAATAACTATTCACACAACACATTTACTCGAAACATGGTTGTATTCAAAGCATTAGAGAATTTCTCAGTTATTATTACGTAGAATTTTACACTTCAATTTGAAAAAGAGATAATGAAATCAAAAGAAATATTTCAGTCTTTAGAGAGTTTTACTTTTGAAAAAAATTCTTTTGAACTCTCTGATTTCATTTTCAACTCTTGTATGACTACTGATTGTAACATCAGCAGAAAAGTGAAAACAAACAAAGTACGCGATAACAACGTAATGCACTTCTTTTTCCATATAGGAATACGATACTATTATTTCGTTACATTGCAAAAAAAGAAAGATGAAGTTGGAATCGTTGCTCATGGAGCTCTTACTTGATCTATTCAAATTTCTCAATTCTGTTGATCATCTTCGTGCCTCAAATGTGACATTAATATAGTGTATAATCAAATTCTGCCGTCTGTCACATCAGTATGATAGTCATGTTTTAATGCTTGACTATTTTAACCGATGAGAATATTTATTTTCTCAGCACCGGGCGGCTATTATCGATTTTTATCTTTTGTATACTACATTGCGGCCGGCAGAGGAGAAGAAAGACAACAAGGTTCATATTTAAACATTGCCTCAAATTGTACGTACCTATTATCAATTCGAGCTATGGTAGACGATCTTTATATTCACTTTAAATTGTCTGATCGATCAGTGCAGACTATTCTTGGTGTCATGCTTAAACCCTATCCTGATTCTTATCTGACCAAACTCGTCTTCAATGACTCCTTCAAATCAACCAAAGATGACGAAGACTTCTTTTGGATTGACGAAGAGCCACAAATATTTGCTGCCATTCTTAACTTTTATCGACATGGTCTCCTCGTCCTACCCGATATTTTTGTCGCCATGCGTGATTCGATCATCGACAAGTACCTGCTGCCCGTTGATATATCTGCACGTGTTCTTTCTCCTCTTCAGTCAACCATAACACCAGTCTACACCACGTATGTTCGTCTTCGTGGCACAACACGGTCATTTTGCTTTCCGCCTTCGACTGAGCTAAAGACACGCCTGTGTACCTTAGTGGATCCATTATGGGATGATTTGCCCGAATCAAAAAATAGCGGTTTTCCTGTAAGCACACTAAGCGATCAAGGTACTCAATATGTCATCAAGAGTTGTTTAACAGTAATGAACTGGTTGATTGCACAAGGCTACGAAGTTGAACGGTGGAACGAGAGTGAACAAGAAGCCGACTTGAAGAAAGTTCACACGAGAACAACAAATTGAACGTTCGTCTTCATCTTTCTTTCTTTCTTTCTTTCGTATCACAAATAAACGAGATTGGATGATGTTCCGTTTGTTTGAAAAAAAAGCTCGGATATTATTGTTGCCAGCATCTTTGTGAAATACCATCTCAACAGAAATTAGATAACAACATTCGTCTGTTACCTGTTCATTTCGTCGTGCTGAGAACTTACGTAGTGGAACGAGAGTGAAGAGACCTGAGTGCCTATGCCATTAGACATCGTGTTTATTTGGCTACTGCATATCTTGAAATTTGTCTCACCTCTTTATTCATGCAGGTTATATAGACAAGACAGCGGTTGGGTAAGAAGTCACACATAACAAAGAAAGCATAATATACATAGAGAGAAGTGTGACAATCAAGAATTGTCACACGTACTCTTCTGTTTTTTGGTGATGCTCTTTGTTGATCTCTACGAAAATCTTCAGTGAAAATAGCACAGCAAACACTTTCACTAGAATCATCCATAGTATAAAGAACGTCTCTGATGTAGTGATACATCTATTGCATGCACTATTGCATGAAAGAATTATTTCTCAAAATGTTGACAACGAAGATAACAACATTCATTAGAAACTATTTTTATTCTATTTCACTAATCCACAGTTGAGTATCATTATGCAATAAAACATTTTCTTTCACCTATATATTCTAGTTAACAAATAATGACAGTCGACGTACGAAATAATTAAAACTCTTATTTTCGTATATTTTCTCATAATAATATCTGTACTAAACTAAATTCATTTAATAGAGTACAATCAATATTAGATTGTCCGACACAAAAACGTTCATCTAATTATGAATCACGAAATACATCGATTTCATCTTAAAATTGAGCTTCGTAGTATGCATTAGCACATATTCTGACTTCTCTCGGTGTTCATTTCATTTGTTCACACATTAATGAAAGCAATTATTTTTTTAATTTATGTTCGAATAAAAATAAGCATGAAAGACAAATGAAAGCTACATTATTTATATAATCTCATAAAGCAAAAATTTCCATTTTTTCTAACTAAAAAGTCTTCCAAGTCTTAATTATTGTTGTGTTTTATCGATAAGTATAAGATGGAACTTCAGTTACAATATCATCGTCATTTATGACACGATTTGGATCGAACTTTTCATTTTGTATTCCATTCCTTGAATTGTATGGATTTAAGACTATAGTGAAAACAATTTATAGAAAAGAAAAACTAGATTTATATTGAATAGTTAAACTTACTGCTATCGAATTGTAAAATTATTTGGGATGCTACGTCGAAGGTTTGTCCAACTAATTCAGGCCATTGTTTGGTTCCTGACATTATTATGTTTAAAATATCTAAAAAATCAAAAATAGCGAAGGATCATTCATCTTCTCTTTTACTTTTATGATAAAAAGAACGGTCTCATTCAACAAGAAAGCTGAATTTCTCTTGAAGTTAACCTTACTATTTCTCGAATATTGACTTGAAATGTTGTTATCTTTCGCTCAAATTAAAATTTTATCCGTTGTTCTGATTGTGTCCAACTCACTCAAAACCTCGTTCTTTCAATCGTCTACAATGCTATGCAAGGGTATGTGCGCATTTAAAATTTCTTTCTCTCATTTAGTTCCATTAATATGACTATTATAAATATGAATGTTCTTGTTGGTTTTTTTCATATAGCGTGGTATGTCAGTGTATGAAAAATATAAAATTATTCTTTCCTTTTTCTCTCATTCAATGAAATAGTTCGCTTACTCGAACAGAATGAAGAGATTCTTGAAAATAAATGTATAACATTAATCCGAATAAAAATAGAGAAAAACCTGTCGTACGATGTGAGTGTGGGTGGGTATCTAGGGGAAACATGATACTTTGTACTTTAAAGTACATTAAAGTACGGTGAAGTACCTATTAAATATCATGCAC